TTTTGTGGGCATTCACATGAGACACAAATATCTTTACTCCTTTGGCCCATTCAGAGAGATTTATCCATATACCTCTTCCCCATACATCCAATTTTCCAGTCATGCTCCTTCCAAGTCCCAGACCATCCAGCCAAGCCATTAGCCACAGCCCATGGATCCGTATACAGTCACATATCTAGCCATTTCTTATTCCATGGAAAGTGAACAGCTTATGCATAGCTCGAAGTTTTGCCCATTGGGAGGATTTTCCTTCACCACTGTCCTTCAAGGAATTTCCAGAAAGGGTCTGCAGTGCTGCTGCTGTCCACTTTTGAGTGGTGACTGCATATCATGTGGAGCCATTTATAAACCAGGCACAAATTTTCTCTTTCTCAGTCAACTGATTATAAGGAACTCCCATGAGGCCATAGGTGCATACTGTGAGAGGGAAGGTAATGTGACTGGAGTGGAGACTATAGGCTTTTGGGCTACTTCCTCGTGCAACTTACTTGTGCCTTCAGGTCCTGCTTGAGCCTGATCTCTGCTGTATCACTTCCATTAATGATGGAGTGCTGCCGTGCACGTCCAACTTTATGACTCTGTGGGTCAGACAACACCCAGTTCATGATGGGTAGCTCAGGCCTCATGGTGAATTGTTGTCTCATAGTTAGGATTTTAGTCTTTACTAAAGCCTAATAACAAGCTGAAAGCTGTTTCTAAAAAGGAGAGTAGTTATCTGCAGAGGATGGCAGGGCTTTGCTCCAAAATCCCAAGGGTCTGTGTTGCGATTCACCAATAGGGACCCACCAAAGACTCCAAACAGCATCTCTGTTTACTAAAGACCCTCCAAGCACCATTGCATCAGCTGGATCATATGGCTCAGGTGGCAGAGCATCCTGCACAGCAGCCTGAACCTGTTTCAGAGCCTTCTGTTGTTCTGGTCCCACTCAAAACTGGCAGCTTTCCAAGTCACTTGATAAATATGCCACAGCAACACACCTAAATGAGGGATATGTTGCCTCAAAAATCCAAAGAGGCCCACCAGACATTGTGCCTCCTTTTTAGTTGTGGAGAAAGCTAGATACAATAACTTATCCTTCACTTTAGTAGGAATATCTCGACATGCCCCACGCTATTGGACCCCTAGAAATTTCACTGAGGTGGAAGGTGCCTGATTTTTGTTGGGTTAATTTCCCAACCTGTAGCACTCATATGTCTCACCAATAGGTCTAGAGTCATTGATACTTCTTTCTTACTAGGTCCAGTCAACATAATGTCATCAATGTAATGGACCAGTGTGATGTCTTATGGAAGGGAAAGGCAATCAAGATCCCTATGGACTAAATTATGACATAGTGCTGAGGAGTTGATATAACCCCTGAGGAAGCACTGTGAGAGTTCCTGTTGGCCTTGCCAGCTGAAGGCAAACTGCTTCTGATGGTCTTTGAAATTGGTATCAAGAAAAAAGCATTGGCCAGATCAATAGCTGCATACCAAGTACCAGGAGATGTACTAATTAGCTCAAGTAATGAAACTGCTTCAAGAACAGCAGCTGCAACCTGATTAAGTTTATGATAATCTACTGTCATTCTCCAAGATCCATCTGTTTTTTGTACAGGCCAAATAGGCAAATTAAATTGGAGGTGTGGTGGGAATCCCCACTCCTGCATCCTTCAAGTCCTTGTTGGTGGCAGTAATATCTGCAACTCCTCCAGGGATTCAGTATTGCTTTTGGTTTACTATTTTTGTAGGTAGTCGCAGTTCTAATGGCTTCCCCTACCATAATAGCCCTTCCTCCACATATCACAGACCAAATGTGGGAATTCTGTCAATTGCTCAGTATATCTATTCCAGTGATTCATTCTGGAACTGGGAAGTCACTACAGGATGGGTTTGGGGACCCACTGGATCCACTGTGAAATGCACCTTTGCTAAGACTCCATCAATAACTTGACCTCCATATGCCCCCACTCTGACTGGTGGGCCACAATGATGCTTTGGGTCTCCTGGATTACTGTAATTTCAGAGCCAGTGTCCAGTAATCCACAAAAATCTGATTATTTCCTCTTCCTCATTGAGGAAGAGGCCTCAGGTAAAACTCTCGTAAAAGGCCTCAGGTCCCTTTTTGAAAGGCTGGGCGAAAGATTGACAGTATAAAGTTTTGGCAGTGTAGTGGGGTCCTTCCTCAAAGGGACCCAGCCTGTCCTTCATTGAAGGGATTGTGGGTCTGTAAACTGACTCAAGTCTGGGAATTGATTGAGAGGCCGTGACTGTATTCTGGTGATTCAATCTAGGTTGCTGTTCATGTGACCTAGAATTCTTCTGTCTATACAGATTAAGTAAATATTTAGTAGGCTTGCCGTGTATTTCACTACTAGGAACACCATGCGCAAGTAGCCAGTGCTGTAATTCCACACAAGTCAGACTATTTTGATTACTGTTCTGACTGCTGTCCATTATGGTAACCATGCCCACCTTGCCTTTGCCGATTTATTGCTGTCACTTGGCCCCTACTTCCACAGGGGTCCAATCAGCCCAGTTGTAGTTAATTGTCTTAGTTCAATTAGGGCAGTTCCCACTCTCAAATCCGGCTTACATAAAATAGCAATCACAACAGTCTTCAGAGATGTTGGAGCTCCCTTCACAAATTTATTCCTCACTGAACTGGTGAAAGGTGTGTCTTCTGGACTCTCCATTTCTGGCTCTAGGGGTCTAATCTGATAAATCCATTCTAACAGGCCAATTTCTCTTAGCCTCTGGATACCTTCATCTACATTATACCAAAGCAGATCTGGTACTTCAGTTTGACTTAAGGTAGGCCACTGCATAATCCACGCTTCAGTAGGCCAACCAAATAAACTATTAGATCTTTTCCTAATCTCACGAGCTGAAACATTGAAGAATCCGTACTTAGTGGTCCTAAATCAATAAACTCCAACTAATGCAATGTTACATTCCTTGCACCATTATCCCACACCCTTAGTAACCAGCCATTCCTATACATATTTTCCAGGTTTCTGTCTGTACATGTTAGCAAAATCAAGTAGGTCTTTTGTAGTGTAGCATACCACCTCCTGAGTCACACTTTGTATTTCCCATTTTGGGGCTCGCTTGGACTTAACTTTAGTTATAGGTCTAGCAGCAAAAGTGGGTATTTCGGGCAGTTCCTGAGAGTATTCAGGAATGTCATCCATGGCCTCTGCCTCAGGCAATCACCCAGCAGGAACAGTTGGGTTAATCCCATCAAACCGAGGTGGAGTGGGTAATGGTTTTACAGTAATCCATTCAGATGGGAGGGATTCAACATAATTTAGAGATTCCATATGCTGATCTTCCTGACTTTCTGCCCGTATTTCCCCATTCCAGGTTTTAGGATCCCATTTTTTCCCAATCAATGCCCTCACTTTATCTTCAGACACCATTCTGCATTGGTAATTTAATTGGCGTTGTAATTCAGACACCCTTACCATCAGACTCTGGGTTTGTTTTTCAGTAATATCATCTCTGTTACTAGAAGAAATGAGGCTTTTTTTCAAAGCCCAGCTGGAAACATTGAGGTCTTTTATGGGGCACTTAAGCTGTGACTCAGCAGCCCTGAGCAAATCTCACTCTTTCACCACTTTGTCTAGTGTAAGTAGGACCAACCAACCAGCTTCCTTATACTCCTCATGCTGACAAAATTGCATAAAAGTATCCAGTATGAGATCACCCAGAGCCTCACTTATCACAAGTACTTGATCTATTGGTGGTGTTATTTTGCATATTAAGGTTGCCACCTCATGCCATGGATTAGCAGGGCTCTCTTTAGTAATGGAGGCAGGGTCACCAGTGCCTTTGCAATTAATCAAATTGGAGAACCAATTTAAGAAGCCCATCCTTACGATTTTATCTCTTTGAGCGACTCCTGGTACCAAATGTGTTAGACGGGGTTCTCTAGAGAAGCGAAACCAGTAAAGCTTATATATAGAGAGAGAAAGAGAAATTTACTTTAGGAAAATGGCTCACATATTTATAGAAGCAGGCAAGTCCCAATTGGTTGGTTCAAACATCAAGCTGGAGGCTTTTCCTGACTCACACAGCTGCAGGGGCTGAGGGGCTTAAGATTGGCATGCAGTATACTGGCTTTTGATTCCAACAACTGATGAATCCAAGATCTCCAGGGTGAATGGTGTTCACTCACGAACAGTTGTAGGCAGCACAACTGAATCACGATCCACAGAAGAGTGTCTCTTTTCCCAGGATGTCCATAAATATACTGGACTCAGGCCACACCCCTTGGGAAACTCCCTTTCAACGGATTGGCTGCTCAAAGTATATAGATCTTATCCTATCATCACAATCCATATCACAGTTGCTTAAGCCACACAGAATTATGGTCTAGCCAGGTTGACACACAACTCCAACTATCACATGTACCTAGGGCTGGACACTAACGTTCTATCATTTTAGGCTAAATAGTACAATTTGAACACCAACCCCCCCGTGTATATATTCTTTTCTCACTTATTTCCATTTTAGTAAGTGGATTGCTTAGAGAGATGCCCCTATACCAGCAGTAGTATATTGGGCATCCTGTACAAGGAAAAATAAATGCTATAAAGGACATCATTGGATCAAATGATAAGATTGAAGTACGAGCAGTAGATTAGATATAAGTATTGTGTTGTGGAGTTGATTTGACTCATAGTAACCCCTCCTTGGACTTTAGAGGCAGTATCTCTACAGAATTAGATTGCCTAGTCTTCCTTCTGAGGAGTGGCTGGTGAGTTTGAACTGCCAGCCTTCTGGTTAGCAGTCAAATGCCTTAGGCTCTATGCCACCAGAGTTCCCATGTTAGTGTTAGTTTTCTTAAAGTTGATAAGTGTGCTGTGGTTCTGTAAGAGAATATCCCAATTCTTAGAAAATGCACACTGAGGTGTTTAGGGGTAAAGGGCAATGATTTATATAACTAGCCCTCAAATAGTTCAAAAAAATTTGTGTGTGAGTGTATGTACAGCAGGAAAGATAATACACAAATGATAAAGTAAATGGCAGTAAAAATGTTAATAATAGTTGTGAAGCTAGGATTAAAGGTATATTGGCTTGCACAAACTATTTTTATTTTTGTAAGCTCTCTCTAGGTTTGAAGTTATTTTGAAATAAAAAGTTAAAATAAACAGATGTCAAATAATTTTTTATCCCATTTTAGGAATGTAGCTTTTCCTTTTTCTCAGCCATAAAAACAAGTTCAGCCCCCTCTCCCATATTTATATACAAATAATGTAAGGATGACCAATTTATTAAAATATGTTGCCACTTTCATATTTAAAGTTTCAACTACACATTGTTTCACTCTTTATTTTTAAAATAGTTTTGACCTGCTTATATTGAAAGAAGTGGTACAAAAAATGGCAGGAATAGAAATTACAGAGGAAATGACAATGGAGCAACTAGAGGCTATGACTGGGGGAGAGCAGTTGAAAGCTGAGGTGAGTGTTGCTATTTTTGTTTATTGCCTTTTAAAATTCAAAAAGCATACATGCCCATAACAAAGAATCCAAACAATACAGAAGTATGTAAAGCCATATCCTGCCTTCACAAGCATTCAATTTTAACCTTTTTTTTTAAGTTGAAACAAAGTATGAAGGACAGTAATACCTCTGTAAGGGAGATAATACTGTATCTTCTGTGGTCCTTGATATGACTTAATTCTGAAGGTAGTTCCTTTATTATTAAATCTGTTACACATCAACGAAAGAATAACCATTAATAATGGACTTCTTGTGGAAGAAAATATGCAGTAGCTTAAACACAGTTGACAGTTATCTTTAAGCTAGTAGTTATAATCAGAAATAGTGTCACGACATAGATTCAAAATGGAATCTCATTAGTGATCACCACGCTATTTCCCTCTAGCATCTTAGTGCTTGAAAAACTAGCTACAGCAGTTTGAATTAGGGATTCTGGTGCTCTGAACAGCTCACTGACTGAGTCAGAGTGCACCAGACTTAGAGGAGTAGAGTTGGAAGAAAGGTACAGGGAAAAAAAAATAAGATCTATCCTGTGGCGTACGAACGGGCAGCCAAGAAAGGCCATGGGAGAGTTCCCTGGGGAGCAACCGGCAGGCAAGAACGGCCATCCCAGACCTCCCTTGTTTAAGGCAGAAGATACACCACACTAGCATACAAGGGACCACATCAGCATATCAGCGATCACCCAAAGGATCTACCTTTAGTGCCTGATTTTATCGGTGACTTGGGTCTAGATGTAAAAGGGCATGTACAGTGCTGCTGAAACCTGAGCAGAGAATGCATTGGTGCTCCAGGAGGGTGGGCCTGCTCCCACCTCAGCAGGTCACTGGGTGGGCTTGGGTTAGCTTAGTGACTCTGAGAGGTCCGCGCTTGACTTTATCAGTAATGTTGGGACCACCGATTACTAGTAGGCACTCTCCCGACTCCAGTGCAGCTGAAACTGAGTGAATCTTTGGCGCTGCGAGTGGGCAGACTCACAGAGGAACTCCCGAGTGGATTGCAGTCTGGGTGGGCTGGGCCGGCACCATGGGTGGGGAGGGCCAGAGAGAGAAATCACTGAGGTGGATTACGGAGCAAGGAAGTTGTCTTGGGTCAGATTTTTGGTGCTGAGGGGCCTCGGGAGTGGGGTTTTTGCATGTGTCTGAGCCTGGTGGAAAGCGGCGACCCCCTTACAACTGGAGTCTTTGCTGAAATTGAGCTGTGGGCCTGAAAATAACAGTACAGCGTCATCGGTAGCAGCCCACTCAAGGCCCTAGAAACCGCCCCAGGCAAGAGTGAGCTCTCATTCTTCTGTTCTCACCTTCTCCGCCAATAACTTCACTCATCCAATAGAAGAAACCACATTCAGCCAACATAAAACCTCCCGGTTTGAACTATAAACCCTCTTTACGACAAACAGAAACCCATATCCACGTTCCACACACCAATTCCACCATCACAAAACTACAGAGCAACCCAGTATACCTGAATTAATAACTAAAAAATACAAAATACACCAGCTTTGCCTTTTCAAATATTAAACCATAAAACTGAGACTGTAAAAATCAATACAGAACCAATAGTTAAAGACAACCTCAATATGTCTAGGAAACAAACAAACAGGACAAGACATTAGAAGCAAAACCACAAACAAAAGTCTCATGCATGGAGGAAGAGGAGGCAATAGAATTACCAGAAAAGGAATTTAGAAAATATGTTTATAGAACTGTACAAGAGCCTAAGGAAACCCCAAATAGAAACAAGGAGAACACAGACAGTACCCTGGAAGAACTCAAGAAAATCATTCAAGAACAAAATAAGATTAATGCACAATCAGAACTCATACAAAAACAGCAGTTAGAAATCCAGAAGATGAATACCAAAATGACAGAATTACACAACACAACAGAAGCACAAAAGAGTAGGTTAGAACTGGCTGAAGAATGCATATCCCAACTAGAAGACAAATAACTGGACACCAGCCTGTAGGAAGAAAAATCACAGCAAAGATTTAAGAGAAATGAAGAGAACCTAAGAATTATATGGGATGACATATAGAAAACCCATGCAAGACTCATTGGAATTCCAGAACAAGAAGAGGTGAAAAGAAACACTGAGAAAATTGTGGAAGACCTGCTAACAGAAAACTTCTCCCATATCATGAAAGAAAAAAAGATATTTGTCCAAGAAGCTCATAGAATCCCACAGAAGATGGATCCCAAGAGAAAAACACTGAGGTGTATTATAATCAAACTCTTCAGAACTAAAGACAAACACAAAATTTCGAGAGCTGCCCGGGACAAAAGAAATATTACTTACAATAATAAATCAGGCTAAGCTCCGATTACTCAGCAGAAACCATGCAGGCAAGAAGGCAGTGGAACAGCATATATAAAACACTGAAGGAAAAGAACTTTCAATCAAGAATCCTAGATCCAGCCAAACTATCCATCAAATAGGAAGGTGAAATCAAGACATTCCCCAAAAAATAGAATATAAGGGATTTTGTAAAAACCAGACCAACCCTACAAGAAATACTTAAGGAAGTTCTTCCAATAGAGAACCCACAACAGAGATCAACAATATCAGGATACATGGCATCAACACTAAAACTAAATCAGAAATAGAAACTGAAAATAAGACCATAAAACATTGTACTCTAAAAACCAAGGAAGTCAGTCAGCACATAACAGCAACTAACCTATCAGAGGGAATAAAATGTCTAGGTACAAACTTCCAAATGGAGAGGAAAACAGGACAGTGTCTTCACAGTATGCACTGTTCTAAACATGCAGAGACAAGAATATACTCCAAGGTAACCACAGAGAAAAGTAACAATCCCCCTAAGCAAATTCAGAAGGAAGGAAAACATGGGTTTAATAAGCAGAAAACCAACAATAAAGAAGAAAAGGGAGAAAGCATTAACCAACAAACTGAGCTCAGCACAGAAAAATATATGGACCACAGAAACACCAACAACACGACAAAAAAAACACAGTAGAGTGACAGCAATCAATTCATACCTATCACTAATTACACTCAGAGTGAATGGACTAAATGCATCTGTCAAGAGAGTGGCAGACTGGATAAGAAAAGAAGACCCATTGATATGCTGCCTACAAGAGACCCACCTTAGACACAAAGATAAAAACAAATGAAGAGTTAAGGGATGGAAAAACAATACTAAGCCAATGGAAACCAAAAAAAGAGCAGGAGTAGCAATATTGATTTCTGATAAAATAGACATTAAGGTGAAAAACATCATAAGCAATAAGGAGGGATATATATATGATGCTGAAAGGGTCAATTGACAAAGAAGACATTACAATAATTAATATTTATGCACCCAATGAAAATGCTACAAAATACATGAAGCAAATATTAACTGAATTAAAAGGGACAGTAGACGACTCAACAGTAGTAGTAGGAGACTTTAACACACCACTTACAAAGAAGGACGGGTCAACTAGAAAAAATTCAACAAAGATACAGAAGAACTCAACAATACAGTCAGCCAACTCGACCTCATAGACATATACAGAGCATTTCACCCAACAAAAGTACAATTTATATTCCAGTGCACATGAATCCTTCTCCAGAATAGACCCTATGTTAGGACACAAAACAAGCCTCAGTAAGTTCAAAAACATTGAAATGCTGCACAGCATTTTCTTGGACTACAGTGTTACAAAATTAGAAATTAATAATAGGAAGAGCAAGGAAAAAGCATCAAACATATGAAAGCTGAACAACTCACTGCTCAGAAACTACTGGGTACCAGAACAGATAAAAATTGAAGTAAAAAATGGCTAGAATCAAATGAGAATGAAGATACATCATACCAAAACCTATGGGACACAGTGAAAGCAGTACTCAGAGGACAGCTTATAGCAATAAATGCATACTTCAGAAAAGAGGAAAGAAACAAAATCAACACTCTTAACTCATCAACTACAACAACTAGAAATAGAACAACAAAAGAATCCTACAGTATCTAGAAGCAAGGAAATAATAAAGATCAGAGCAGAAATAAAT